CTTCACTTATCCTGGATAATGGCGCGCTTCACTGGCCGGTCACGTGGAATCACAAAGAACCAGAATTGATAGGTTCTTTATATGACACTGACACCAGTTGAATATATTGTCTGCAAGGCCTTTCACGCCTCACAGTGGCGACTTTCTTCTGGAGGAAGGATAGCGTTTACCCTGATGACTGGGTAATGGCGTCTCCTCGTGACCACGACGCGAACAGGTCCGCTCTAGAGCTTCTCAACACGTGTACTGGCTTGCTCTCCTTCCCCGCTCCGCGTCTCGCGTTCATTAGACAAATTATTATCATGAATATTAGTATTTGTCGCAGTTGTGCTTGAAATGTTCGAGACAGGATGGGTTTATTATTTAGAAGAGTGAAATATTATTATTTGCCAGTTCAGTGATAGTAAACATATAATGGAGAGGAATTAATGTCTCCATGGCATTCACTTGTGACGTTAATTTTTATTGCTAGATAACTGCTATGACTCTAACCCTCTATTCGGCTTTTAGTTGGAGGTCAATTTATCTGTAATTAATTATCACACAGAACGCCTTGGTTATAGAGAATCGAATTCAATTCTCAGGCACATTGGATATAATGTGTTTATTGTAATGCAATCTGACGCAATACTGGCGTCGGGTGACATAAGAATTCTAGCCTATTGCACAGATGAAATTATTAGTACATGTGAATTCTACGTTGTGCTAATTTTACTTACTACAATTAGTAGCATTAGTAATAATTAATGAGAATACAACAGTGTTGTATTCGGTGTTGGAAATTTCCAACAGGGACCTTACAAACATTAAATGGGAAACTGTTCTAAGTAATAAAAATCCTACACAAAGAATAAAAAAACGAACTTCTGAAGCATATGCAGTCTGTCTGATACATGTGCCTATGAGAAAAGCCAGAACGAGGTCGAACGTAGAAAGATAACGCAGATGACACTACAAAAGAAGAAAAAAATAACGGAAATGCTTAAGCAGACACAACTTTCCAAACAAAGAAAGAATAATTTAAACAGGGAAATTTTAGAAATCGAATAGAGACTGAAGCATTTATATCAAATTGAAGAGAGTCAACTAGAACAGAAAGCAATTCAAGAAATAAAGAAAAACCCAAAATATTTCTTCACATATGCTAAATCAAAAGGAAAAACCACTGCCAGTATTGGACCTATTATGTACAAGTGAGGGCTCATACACTGAGGATGAAAAAGAAATCAGCGAAATCCTAAAAAAAACTTTGAGGACATGTTTAGCATTCCAAAAAACAGCATGAAAGTGAATGATCTGGACAACTTCTTTATGCGTAATTTTCAAACCCCTGTAAATAAACTGATATTAACACGTGCATGACACATTTTGAAAAGGAAATTGACAACATGCCCATGCACTCAATCCTCATGGAATTCAATTTGTATAATGAAATGCAAGGTGTCAGTAGCGTAGACACTCAGTATTGTGCAGAGGAAGAGCTTGGGCGCGGGGGAAATACCAGATGCGCCTGAATCACCAGACAATGCCCCTCTACACAAGGGAGGGAGCAATGCTCTTGGCAAAGAATTATAGACCAGTTGCACTAACGTCCCAAATAATAAAAGTATTTAAGAGGGTGACCCGGAGTCTGATCACTAGTTTCATGGAAACCAATGACCCCCACAACCCAGGCCAACATGGATTTAGACCGGGAAGATCATGGTTCTCACAGCTACTTGACCATTACGAAAAAATCCTTGAGGAATTAAAAGAAAACAGAATGCAGATGTGGTATACACGGACTTTGCAAAGGCTTTTGATAAATGTGACTATGGAGTGATAGCACATAAAATGAGGTCAGTTGGAATAACTGGTAAAGTAGGACGCTGGATACTCAGTTTTCTGTCGAACAGAACACAAAGAGTAAGAGTCAACCATATAAAATCGAGTCCAAGCGCAGTTAAAAGCTCTGTGCCTCAGGGTTCAGTCCTTGCACCACTGCTTTTCCTTATTCTCACATCAGACATAGATGCAAATACAAGTCACAGCTTCGTATACATCCTTTGCAGATGACACAAAAATCAGCATGAAAATTACCTCTGTTGAATACATTGAAAAACTACAAGCTAATGTTAGTAAAGTTTTCGACTGGGCAGCAGACAATAACATGATGTTTAACAGTGATAAATTCCAGGTAATCAGGTACGGTAAAAATAAGGACCTTAAACATAATACAGGGTACAAAACACTATACACAGAAATTACAATAGCTTGATGCATTAAATGAACAAATCCACAAGGGCCGTGACGAGGATTCGAACCTACGTCCGAGAGCATCGGTAACCTCAGTCGGTAAAGGCAGCGTCTGGGATGCTCTCGGATGTAGGTTCGAATCCTCGTCACGGCCCTTGTGTACTTGTTCAGGGTACAAAACAATCAAATATGCCCATGGTAGGAAAACAGCATGTAAAGGATTTTGGAATAATGATGACTGACAACCTAACGTTTAGGGAGCATAACCAAGCAAATATTTCGTCAGCCAGAAAAAATGATAGGATGGATTACGAGAACTTTCAAATCCAGGGATCACATCAGAATGGTTGTATTCTTCAAATCACGTGTGCTGTCCTGTCTTGAGTACTGCTCAGTACTCACTTCCTCCTTCAGAGCAGGTGAGATGGCTGAAATAGAGTGAATATAAAGAACTTATACGGCATAGATAGACGCGATAAAGCACCTAAATTATTGGGAACGTCTCAAAGCTCTCCAAATGTACACACTAGAATGGTGAGAAGAGAGATATCAAATCATATATACGTGGAAAACATTGGAGGGGTCCAGGTCCCAAATCTAAACAGTAAATAACAGCATACTGGAGTGAACGATATGGAATAAAATGTAAAGTAGAACCAGTAAAGATCAGGGGGTGCCATAGGCACAATCAGAGAACACTGTATAAACATCAGAGGTCTTTGGATGCTCAACATCCTCCCAGCGAGCAAAATAAATATGGCCGGAACAACTGTGCGACATCTTCAAGAGAAAACAATATAGTTTTCTTCATGGAGTGCCGGACTAACCGGGCTGAGGGGGATATGTGGGCCTGTGGGCCACTCCAAACAACGGCCTGGTGGACGAAACTCTCTCGAGTCAAGCCTGGCTTGGGGAGTAAAAGAACTACCAGAACCCCATCAAGCAGGTATGAGTTTTGTTGTTTACAAACTTCCAAAGTATGAAGTGATCTTTTTTTAAGTTACATTAAAGATTATGCCTTAACCCTGAAAAAAATGTATTATTAATCGCTGTATTAATGGATCTCAGTCATTAACGCCTCCTTGTACAACAGAGAAAGATAGACAGACAAACAGACAGACAGACAAACTTGCAGGTGAAAATGTGACGATTTTGGGAGAGGCATCTGTGTCTGCATCCTCTTCTGAACTCCTTGCCAAGAAAAAAATGTTGTGGAGGCAACAAAGCGTAGAATTTTTGAAGTATGGCTTTATTAGGTGCGAATGGAAAAATGAGAATCCAGGCCTCAGTGTTATTTGCAGTGAAGTTCTTGCAGCTATCAAGCTTGAAACCATCAAAATTCAAATCCCACCTTGAGACAAAGCTTGCCGAGCTCATTGGAAAGCCTGTGGAAAATTTTCAGGGAAGAAAAGACCAAATGCATTTTTCAATTATATTTCTAAGTAAACCAATCACCTTAAAGATAAAGTGTAACTGGCAATCTATGTAGTTGTTTGTCGCTTAGCAAAATAGAAAGTGATGTATTACTAGGGAGAAAACCTTTCCTTCCAGCCAATCTGAATATAGTGAGTACAGTTCTTGATGAAAAGTGGGCAGAAAACGATCACACGTATCCCTGACAGTAATAATAAAAACATGTAGTCATAAATGTTTGCTCATTTATAACTGGGAAAATATACATAAAACGAACAGTACATTAATTACATGAGTTACAATGACAAAAGAGCAGTAGACATTGTCATTATCTAAATCAGAAACTTAATTGGTAACAACTTCTCCAAATCATTTAAATGCTGACTACACTTAACTGAAGGTGTATACAATTTAGACTCTTATACAGGTGCATAAGAGTCTAAATTGAAATTTACATTATAGGTATAAAGTGAGTGACATTTTGCTAAGAATCTGAAAGATGATATATTGTAAAAGCACAATATATCACAAAATCAGGATGATGAGACATCTATCAACAGACCCATTAAAAACTAATCATACCATGACGAAGTATATATTTGCACACCTCAACATTCTGCATCAACAGATTCTGATGATATTCTGCCTGAAAATTTCCCCAAACACACAATTTATACAGCATCGATTTTTGCATAGTTGGACTGGAAATGCTTGCCAGTAATCCATATCTTGGCAACATTAGTTCCTTATTCATCCCAAATATCCAGCTGGGGATCTCCCGGCTTTCATTTCTGACGCGATGTGTTATCCTGTACTGTAGACCCGCTACCATTAATAATACCACTAACCCTAAGTGGTTAGCTGTCATATTTAACATATATTTTCTCTAAGCTCAAAGAACTTGATCTATAACAGCACGGGAGGGAAAATGATGTATTCAAACATAGATGAAGATATTCAAGAGATCAGTAATGGTTTTGCAAGCAGGTCTTAAGGCGGACAAACCTGTTTACGACAGGTTCTCGAGTCCCGCGAGACTTTTTTTTTGTTTTTTGTCACGGACATTATGGACTCATATTTGTTTAATATTTGTTTTTATATAGGAAGTTAAACACGGTAAAATAAGTGAGAACATTGTAATTAATGAAGTTATCCACAAACTATTTAACACGACATAATTAAGAAACAAAGATTTTTTCCAATAAATAAAGAAAGTCAATGATGTAATATTAGAGGGAAGGGGAATGCAATAGTACCACTTTCTCCTGTAGTTGGCGCACTCGTCAATAGATGGCACTGTTAGGCCGGGCGAGCGTTGGGTTGGGTGTTACACGATCTATATATTTTATAGAGAGCTTTCCTATCCTTCTTCCATAGTCTCTTGTTAGTGCGTATGTTTATAGTGTGTGGGGAAGGCAACGAGTCGGGCCACCTTCCTGCATTTGTCATTCAATCCCCAACTATTTGAGGTGAAAACATTCTCTCTGTGCTTCAAGGTTTGTGTATTAAAGGATAGTTATTGCTATTTGTTTAAATCCATGAATGTTATGGAATCGGTGTTGTGTAACGTTAGTTGGTGTTTTACTTTTCTTCCACAATGAAGGTGGTATCTGGGTGGTTTGTGTTTAGTCCTCTTATATTCTCAGTATACTCTCCAACAGATAATTTGTTCAAATATACTTAGAAAGCTATAAGAAATGCAAGGTTAAGTTTAATTAACACCTGATAATTGGAGGTAAACTAAATAGTGTACACTTTAATTGATAGTCTGTCTATTTACACATTTAAAGGTAAATTATAACCACCCTCTAGCACTTCTTGATCAAACTTGTACAGCATCAGATGATTTTACTGATTTAACTTTCATGCCACAACTTTTTCTTCTTCTCTCAGATGTTTTCCTGTTCCTGGGTACTGTTATTATGGACGATCCTGGTAATATCACAAAATCTAGTCGTCGCACAACTTCCTACCGTGAGTAAACGTCGCCTTCCAATTTTGTTTACGAAAATTAGATTTTAATTTGCCTACATCGCGGGGGGGGTCCATACAAGTCACGAATGTCGTGCTAGCGTAGTCGCAGCCTAAACAATTTTAACTTTTAGTTATATTGATACTAGTATACAATGTTCCTTCTGAATTTTAAAACTCAATTGTTATGTTGGTTCATATATTATGTAATGGATCTCTCCCTCCTAAATAATAGGGTACTAGTACCACTAAAAAGTTTCCAGTCAAATCATAGCATTATCATAACCCTTTTATTGTAGTAATTTTAAAAAACATTAGAAATTATACCAATGGTTAAGGCCCTTCTCAACCGTGAAGGCTCGGTGGTAAAGGGTCACATTGAGGCTTGTAAGGAGTCTATGAATTGTTTCCATTATTCACTATGGGTGGAAGATGAACAATTGGCCTGTACAACCAACTATTTGGTACTGCTTAAATTTAACCTTGCAGGTATGTAACATCTAGCGCATACTTCTATAAATGTGTAGACTTTTGTTAAAATTTTGGAGCGGAGCTTCTTATTTACTTTACTGTACTATAAGACCTGTATAGCCACTACGGCGCACCAGTGCCTGAACGCAGCTCCTAAATCTGTGATTTCTTTGTAATTTTAAGACTTGCAATGACGTATTTACATGTATCTTTTAAATGGTTTGCCTTCCTCTAACCCATCAGCCTGGCTCTGGTTATGGCAGTCAGACCAGAGTGCCGGCTAGTACCAGCTCTCAGGGGTCATCGGATCAACAAGGCAGCGGTCCAGCTGTAGGTGGCGGCCCGGGCGTCGGCAGCGGTCCACTTTTGGGTGCTGGATTAGGCCTTGGCAGCGGTCAAGGAGTAGGTATTAACCTCGGCCAAAGCATCATCGGCGGTCCAGTTGGCAGTTCTGGCCAAGGAGTAGGCAGCGGAGACAGGGCTGGACAAGTTACCAGCGGGCCTCGAGCTACCTCTAGCAGCAGCGGTCCGGCTCCTTACGCTGGTGCAAGGTATGGCAGTCCTCAAGTGAGCAGAGTGGATGCACTATTTAACCCCACTGTCACCCAGCTCTTCACCATCGACCGCTTCGTCACCCTCACTGATCAGGCTTTCCAGAGTGTGGCTGTCACCCTCACTTCCCTCACCGTCCAGACTGTCACCACTGGAACACGTGCGGTGAGTACTTGGTATGTATTGTGATAAACGATGGTCTGGACGCTGACCTTGGACTAGTTAAGTATTCTTTCACAGGTGGCACAGACGCCGGTGGATGACCGCGTGGCCCTCCAGACAACGGTAGTTGTCAGACCTTCAACACTAACGGTCACGTACGTGCAGTCGGACTTCAGGATTGTGACTGAAAGGTCTTTAGACTACGTGACAATCGCCCACACCTCGTACGTAATCATGCAGACTACCTACACTACTACTGCTACCCAAGTGTAAGTTCGATGCCAGGTCTACAGTATTGTACTGTAACTGCCAGTCTCTTCATTACTTGAAAGAAAAACGATTAATTGTCCAATTTACTCCCCACAGGCTGTCGTACACGACAACGTTGGTGAGAACAAACATAAATACTAAGAGCACAGTGTTCACAGACTACCGCACAGTCACCGACACGGTCCTCGTCCCCGGAGCCCGCTACGGTTATAGACAGCTCTAGCACCTTCATCCGTTCTAAGATTTTTAAAGAACGTAATATTAAACATATTTAACATTTTCGGTCTGTATGGTCTATTAAACTTTATTCAAGAATTGTTCTTTTTAATAGGTAACTTTGTGTCCACAGTAATGTCTGTTTGCCTGTTCAGAAATTTGTTAAGCAGTTGGTAAGATGGAGTAGGTACTTATAAGCTGTATTCTTATGGTTCAGATATTGCGTGTTATACATGGGGAAATATTTCCTGGGCGGGATGTCTAGTAAACAAACTAAATATTCGGCAACTCGAACCATAGAGATGGTCAGTGATCCAACGAAATACATCGCAGGAAAGTCGTGAAAACGTGACAGCCACAGTGCTAAAGGAGAAAACTGACTATTATTGTAAGACTAAATTATGTAAGGTACTTAAAGCTTTAATGACAGACTTCTTAGGCTATCTATAAAAATGATACTCGAAGGTTGACTACCTGGTAAATAAGTCTTAAGAGGATACTTTCATCACTGACTATATGACTTGGGTGCAGATGCACGAGGGTGGGGGGAGAGGGGAGGGTACGTGGTGGTCTGCTGGACCTCTAATACAGTAAATTGAAAAAAAAAAAGTTAATCGAAAATTAAAATTAATATGCTCATTAAATTTGACCATTTCTCTGCAAAAGTGTTCTTCTTTCTGCAGTTCTTTAACTGCATATCTCTTCACTTAAATACTACAGCCACCCTACCTTCGATAGGTGGTAACTTAACATTGTCAGCTGCTCGGTGTTCAGTGTTTAGTAAGGAGTGACTCCCTCGCTCTTCCTGTTCTGACGGTGCACAAGTGTACTGCAACCCTGTGCATCCACTTTGCATAGAGACCCGTGTATTCTTCGGTGGTAGATGAAAGGGTTGAGCGTATCCAGCACAAGTGGATCCTTTAAAACAAACGCGGTTTATTTGCTGGGGGTCCCCCCCTCCCCATCCGGCCCGTTGGCGCCGTGAGGGGAGCTTAGTGGACAGCTGCTGGAGTGTGATGCTCCGTGGGACAGCCCTCTGTCCTTTGGTGGCCTTGCACTCCTGCTGCTGTCTTCTAATGGTGCTGGATCGCTTTTCCTTTTCATTGTTTCGTTTTTTCACACCCCTCTTCTATCTGCTTGTCGTTTCCTGCCGACCTTTTGCTTATTTTGGTTATTCTTTAGACTAATTTTACTTTGAAGCCCGGGTGCTTGACGAGGCATAGTCTTGCACCCGTAGAATTGTAGTACCCGACGTCTCGAGTGAGGGGAACCTTTTATTGTCAATCCCCCTTGCGTCGCTGAACCCGCTGTCAACGAACTAACGGTTCTTAAGGTGGCGTTTGTGGGGCGTATGCTCACGACGCACCCCTAGGGGGCCCCAGCATGATCGGCAATAGCTTCCTATTAGGAGTCCTGCCTCTAACTGTGGCTCCATGGTGGGTGTGGGGGCATATTCGTGAATGAATGTTGATTTTTCATAGCAATACCCCCTCCCCATCTGGCTCGTTGGCGTCGTGAGGGGGCTTGGTGGACGGCTGCCGGAGTGTGATGCTCCGTTGGGCAGTCCTCTGTCCTTTTCTGGCCTTGCACTCCTGCTGCTGTCTTCTCCAATTGTGCCGGATCGCTTTTCCTTTTCATTGTTTCGTTTTACTCCCCCCTCTTCTCCTATCTGCTTGTCGTTTCCTGCCAACCTTTTGCTTGTTTTGGATTCTTTCTTTGGACTTCTTCTATTTTGACACCCGGGTGCTTGAGGAGGCATACTCGTGCACCCATAGAACTGTAGTACCCAACGTCTCGAGCGAGGGGAACCTTTTATTGTCAATCCCCCTTGCGTCGCTGAACCCGATCTCGACGGACTGATGGTTTTTAAGGTGGCGTTTCTGGGGCGTATACTCACGACGCACCCCTAGGGGGCCCCCGGCATGATCGGCGATGGCTTCCTGTTGGGTGTCCTGCCTCTAATTGTGGCTCCATGGTGGGTATGGGGGCACATTCGTGGATGAATTTGTCACTTTTCGTCTCTGTCGTTGAATGTTTCCGTTGTACCCTCTCAGGCTCGTGGGGTGGGCGACCAAGCCCCCTAGTCAGCCTGTATTGGAAGACCAGGCTCTGTAGCTCCCGCTGCGTTGAGCCCCGACCTTGCTCCTCCTTTGACCGTCCTGACTTCTTCCCCCAGCTCCCCTCCCTCCTCTGTGGTTGGGTCGAGCCTCCAGCCCCCGGTGGTGACCACTTCGTCCCCTGGTGTGGCTAAGTCTTTCGTTGTGACTACTGCGCCTTTTGACCCCTCTCTAGGGGTTCTCAACGCCGTTCGCGCCCCAACCGCACTCGCTCGATTCCTTCTCGTGCTGATGCGTATCAGGCCTTGTTTGGTCCTGCTTCATGGGCCAAATACTTTGATCTCCTCCCTCTTGATTCTGCGCCTCCTGACGATTTTTCCCTCCATCGGCATCTTGTAGATTCCGTGGATGCGTCTGTTACTTTCAACCCCACTCGTCTCGGTACACGGTACACGTGTCGTTGCTGCTCCTTCTCAGGTTGCGGCTTCCTGCTTGGCTGCCTTACCTTGCCTTGGCGAGATCCCTGTTCGGGTCTCCAAGAACGTTCAGATGAATGCCAGTGTTGGCACTATTCTCCTCCCACCCCATGTTGCAACCGGTGTTAGGAATCTGCAGGATTACCACGATGATATTCGGCATATCCTTGATGCCCAAGGCCATTCTGTCCTCCAGGTTGACTCGTTTACTCGTCCCCCTCGTGGTCGTCGCCGTCAACCCCTTCGCGTTGTGAAGATCACCTTTGATGGTAGGACCCTTCCATCCTCTGTCATTCTTGCTGGTGCTAGGTGCTCTGTCCAGGAGTGTATTCCTTCTCCTCGACTTTGTAACAAGTGCTGGAGGTTTGGGCATGGTGCCCTCCGCTGCTCTGGGACTCTCTCTCTCTGTCCTTTGTGTGGGAGTGAAGGTCACTCTAAGTCGGAGTGCACTTCTCCCCAGGCTCGTTGCCTCAACTGCGGTGAGGCCCATCCTACCTTCTCCCGTGCGTGTGTCCATTACAAGCTTGAGGCAGCTGTCCTCAACTTGAAGCACCGGGAGCGTTTATCTTTTCCTGAAGCGAGGCGCCAGGTTCGCCGGCTCCCGCCTTTTGCTAATATCTCTTATGCTCGCGTGTTGCGCTCTTCCTCTCCTCGTCCTTCCCGCCTTCCTCAGACTCACAACCGTTTCCGGGCCTTGGATCCTGATGCGCCCAGTGCCCCCTCCTTTGTTCCTTTGGGTTCTCTCCCGAAGGATCCTCCTCCTGGTCCTCTGTCTGGGGTTCCCCTTCCTTCTACCCGGTCTGTCGTGTCTCCTGTGTCTTCTTCCTCGTCCCCCTCCGATCCTCCTTCCCATCCTCTTCCTCCATCTATCGGCTCTCCCCACCGCCTGTCGGTGCGGGCGGATGTCCATCGCTCTCCTAACGGCCGTCGTGTGTGCTCTCGTTCGGCTTCTCCTGTTGAGACTCTGGAATCCGTTGCCCGGTACGTAGTTGCTGGGACACCGGTCTCTTTAAGTCAGAAGCGAAAGCCTGGCTCCTCTCCTTCCTCTTCCCCGGCGGGTAAGAAGGCTTCGCTTTCTTCCTCAGCTCCTACTTCTGGCTCTGTTGCTCCTTCCCTTCCCGTTTCAGTGATTGCGCCCCCTGTTCCTGCTATGGAGGTTTCTTTGGCCCCTGCTTCCCTTTCGGTTGCTGCTCTTGCTGGGGTGCGCTCCCCTCTTTCTACTCCCCCTCTTCCTGCTGCTGTCCTTGACTGCTCCTCTCCGTTGTCTCCTCTTCCTCCTCCTCCTCCGGACCCCGCCCGCCCACCTCTTATCTGTTCTCCCGTTTCCTTCCCTCCGTCTTTGCTCAGTTTGCCTATGCCCCCTAACCCTGACTTTGCTGACCCTGATCCCGACCCTGATATTCTTTAACGTGCTCTGTTGCTCTTTAGCCTTTGTTTCTTCCTTGTTCTCTGTTTTTGTCCTTTCTCTTCTCGTCGTTGTCCATTCTTCAATGGAACGTTCGAAGTTATTGCGCCAATTTCCTCGAACTCCAACTTCTGATTTCGAGGTTTTCGCCCCTTTGTGTCTGTCTCCAGGAGCCAATGCTTGGAGCTCGTCCTGGTTGTTTTCGTGGCTATTCCTTTCTCTCCCCCCCCCCCCCCCAGCCGTTGCTGGGGCTTCTAATTCTTCTGCTCTCTTGATTCGTGCTGATATTCCCTTTGTTCCTTTGCTTTTTCCTTCGCCTCTCCATTGTTCTGCTGCTCGTATCTTTGTGGGGAAATGGTACACAGTTTGTTCCATTTATCTCCCCCCGAGTGTCCCGCTCTCTCTTCCTGATTTGAAACACCTCCTAGACTCCTTGCCGGAGCCTGTGCTCCTGCTGGGTGACTTCAATTGTCGTCATTCTCTTTGGGGTGACGTTCTGACGAATACCCGGGGTCGCCTCCTTGAGCCGTTTCTCCTCTCTTCTTCCCTGTCTCTTCTGAATTCTGGTGAGCCCACTCATTTGGACTCTCGGACTCGCACCCTTTCTTGTCTTGATCTTTCTCTCTGCTCTTCTTCTCTTTACTTAGATTTCACGTGGCAGGTTCTTGATGACCTCCATGGAAGTGATCATTTCCCCATCCTTGTTTCCTTTTTCTCTTTTCGCCCTTCCCTCTCTTTCCCTCGGTGGCAGTTTGCTAAGGCAGACTGGCCCCTATTTACCCTCAGTGCTGCTCTCTCTGACCTCTCCCTTCTGCCTCTCTCTCGCGCTCTCCTCCTTTTTCATGACACTGTCTTCAACGCTGCCCTCCGCTCTATTCCTCGCTCTTCCTCTCGGGGTCCACGGAAGTGCGTTCCCTGGTGGAATGCGGACTGTGCTCGGGCTGTCCGCTGTAAGCGTGCAGCCTGGAAGAGGCACCGCCGTAGGCAGACGACCGATTCTTTTCTTTTCTTTCGGAGAGCGAGTGCGGTGGCCCGTAGGGCCATCCGTACGGCAAAACGTGAATGTTGGGCATCTTATGTCTCAACAATTACGTCCGAAACCCCTCTGGCCCAGATCTGGAAGCGTATCCGCAAGATAGCGGGTAAGTTCGTTCCCGATGT